CAGTGCGATTCCATCTCCAGGATCTGCATGGTACTGAAGCGGGGTTAAATGGCAACCGCAGCACCGGCCGCGGCCCCATCCGCGCCCGGAGATCCCCTGCCAGATCTCAGCACCCCTGCGGACAGGGATCAGCGGTTGGAGCTCAATCCGGCACGATGCACGGAGTTCTGCGAAGCGGCGTATTCTGTTGGGGGTTACCGCTACGGGAGGGGGAACTACCCCGACTCCATCTGGACTCCATCTTCCAAGTCTGAGCGACTTGGATTGGCAACAGGTCGCGGGGAGGATACTGGGGAGGAGAAGCGGGAGTAGAACGATCCAATGAGTGAGGAGGGGACAATGGCGGGCTGTTGATGAAATTCGGAAGGAGGTAGAGGAGGAGGAGGAGGAGGAGGAGGAGGAGGAGGAGGAGGAGGAGGAGTGCACGCATGACAAGGAATATCAGGATAAGGAAGGATAATGGGAAGATTAGCAAGGAATGAGACAAAAGGGAGGAGGTGGAAGATGTGCGAAAGAGGGGAGGAAGGAGGAGGAGGAGGATGATGAGACGTCCAAGGTAGTCCCCATCAAGGAAAGGGCGGGCTACCCGGTCAAGCGGCTGAAGGGCTCCGTCGACCCGGAGGCGCATTGGGGTTTCTTGCGGGGGCGGCGATCCTTCTCCTCCTCTCCCCCTGAGGGCCCGCGAAGTTTCCAGAAAGTCGGAGGTTGGAATGGTTCGCTTGGAATCACGAGCTGTGGATGGGCATCGGGCCCTTGTACAAAGCACCCTCGCAGGGCTGAGTGAGGCGCCTCAGCAAACCCGCGGTTCCCTGCACTGGACCCCCTTTGGGTGACATTGGAGCTTGTTCCTGTTCCCGTTCACCCGGGGACCCAGAACTCCACCTTCACAGAGGAGAAGGGGGGAGGAGGGAGGCCGGATCGGGATCGAGCATTCAGCATGCAGGTTTCCAGCTTTGGGGGCGTCTTCCATTCTGTTCTGGAGGAGGAGGAGGAGGAGGAGGAGGAAGAGTTGCGATGGGCCATTGTTTTCGTTGCGGGGGAGGGGGCGTCCGGGGTCGCTTTCGAGCCCTGGGACGAACAATCGATGATGAAGGTTGCCCCCCCCCCCCCCCTGGGATGGGGTCGACGGGTCCAGGGGCTCATGCCATGACCATGAACATGCCATGATGTAGGACGTCTGGGATGGAGTCGCCGCGGCCGGAGCCGCATGGAAGTCCTGGTCGGAAGCGCCGACATGGATTCAGGCGCGCAGGCCAGCGACGGGTTTTGTTCCCATGCCAAGTCGGCGCGCCCCATCTCCCAAGGGTGCGGCACTGGCGCCGTGTTCCTGGGAGTTGCGGCCGAGAACTGTGGGACCGCGCGCCGCTTCGCTGGCTCTGGCACAAGACACGCCTCGGAGCGCCACGCTGTCCAATTTCCCCGTCCCCAGCAGCGTCCCGAGCCTCTCCGAGCCGTTCCCGCCCCGCGGAGCGGAGCAGCGCGCTGCGGTGTGGGCGCTCGTTGAGGCACGCGCCCGGGAGGCTCCAGACACTGGCGGATCCCTCATCTCATGAGGGTGGCGGTGCTATCCACGGCCGAGCCCAAAGTGGTGCTTCGCCTCCCGACCGGAGAGGGGGAGGGGGAGGGGGAGGGGGAGGAGGGAGGGGGAGGGAGGGGAGGAGGAGGGAGGAGGAGGAGGAGGAGGAGGAGGAGGAGGGAGGAGGAGGAGGAGGAGGAGGGAGGAGGAGGAGGAGGAGGAGGAGGGAGGAGGAGGAGGAGGAGGAGGAGGAGGAGGAGGAGGAGGAGGAGGAGGAGGAGGAGGGGAGGAGGAAGGGGGAGGAGGAGGAGGTCCAGACCCTGGATTCCAGACCGAAGGATTCCTTATCCAATGCCCGCACCGTGCCCGCTCGCGGGGCGCAGCTCGCGGAGTATCGACGCGCCGTCTCCATGCCAAGAGCGGCGCGCTGCGTCTCCAAGCGAGGCAGTGCCAGCGCCGTGCTTCGGGGTGCTGCGCTTCCCGATGCCTGGGCGCCTCGCCGCCTCGCGGGGGGCACGTCCAGTGGAGCGTGGAGTGCGCAGCTGCGCTGGAGCCCCCATGGAATCACGTCGGGGGCCTTTCTGGAGCCTTCTAGGGAGATCCTGGGCCTGGCGTCTCGTGCCGTCTTTGGGCGCCCGCTTGGGCAGCCTGGTCGCCTGAGGGGGCATCATAGGGGGGCCTCTCTGGGCCGCACGGGTGACCTCCTGTGGCCTCCACGAGCCGCCCTGGGAGTCCCTTGAGCCGTCTTGGGGCCCACGTGGGCTATCTTGGGGGTTGAGGCCTATTGTGTCACCTTGGGGCCGCCCTGGGGCCTCTGAGCTTCTTGGACGGCCTTGCGGCTACCTTGAGGGCCTCTGCGGCGGTCTTGGGGTGTCTGCAGCCCGGAAAGTAGAGAGTTGCAGCATCTGTCGCAAAGCGACGGGAAATCTTAGCCAGCGTGGACCCCAAAGAGTAAGTCATGGCAGCGGGGATGTGCAAGCTATGTGGTGTATGGAGTAGTATGCGTGGTGCAAGCTAGAGGCGGCAACGAGGCGGCCATGGGCAGCAACGTGGCGACACCTCGCCGAATCCACCTAGCACATGAGGTGGTTACGAGGCGGCCACGGGCGGGAACGTGGCGAAACCTCCCTGGACCCACCCAGCGCACGAGATGGTCACGACGGGCGGCAACGTGGCGCCTCGCCGGACTTGCCGAGCCACGGGCGGGATTCTGGCGAACCCTTGTCGAACCCATTCAGCGCATGAGGCGGCCACGAGGCGGCCAAGGGCGGCAGCCTGGCGAAACCTCGCCGGACACACTCAGCGCACGAGGCGGCCACGAGGCGGCCACGAGGCGGCCACGGGCGATCCAGGCGGCCACGACGCGGCCGCGGGCGGCAACATGGGGAACCCTCGGCGGACACACCCAGCGCACGAGGCCGCCACGCGGCGTCCACGGGCGACAGTGTGGAAATTCCCCAACAAACACCCAGCAAAGTCCTTAGTATAGTATGAGTCTCGTTGCGCTGTGGACGTGCAAGGGATGTGGGGCAAGCTGTGTGGCGCAAGCTGCGCGGCGCAAGCCACGCGGTGCAAGGGACGTGCTGCAAGCGAGGAGGTGCGAGCGGTGTGGTGCAAGCCATGCGGTGCAATCTGCGCGGTGCGCGCGGCGTGCGGTGCAGGCTGTGCGGTGCAAGATGCGTGACGCAAGCTACGTGGGGCGGCCACGGGGCGGCCACCACACCAATCCTCGGGTGGCCCACTCAATCTCTGAGTATTACACCAGAGAGGGGCCCAACATGATTCGTTTTGATGTTGAGATCGGTGGTGAGATCGATAGTGGGATCGATAGGGAGGGCGATCGCGAGGTCGATCGGAAAGACCGATAGAGAAGTCGATTCAGTGAGATCGATAGTGAGATCGATCGTGAGATCGATCGTGAGATCGCTCGTGCGATCTATGGTGAGATCGATTGTGAGATCGATCGTGAGATCGATTGTGAGATATCGATCGTGAAATCGATAAAGAGGTGGGTAATGAGATTGATGGTGATCGACACGGAGGATCGACCAGGATCGTGTAATCGATACGGAGATCGACCAGGAAATCGGGAACCCGGAAACCCAGGAACCCCGCCGCCCACCGAAATCGGCCGAGAACCAACAACCGGGAACGGTGGAATTTGGAACTGGGAACCTGGGAACCCGGTAAGTTGGCCGCCCACCGAAGTCGGTCGGAAAATGTTGCCAAAATTTTCAACATCCGCTAGGACCCTTGCAGTGCAAGCACTAATTGGTGGTGATCTTTTTTTGTGAGATATCGATCGTGAGATCGATGGAGAGCCTGGTAATGATATCGATGGTGGGGCCGATCGATAAGGAGATCGACCAGGAAGCCCGGCAATCCGGGCACCCCGCCGCCCACCGAACTCGGCCAGGAACTCGCAACAGGGAGTCGGGGAATCCGTAGCGAGGAACCGGGGAACTTGGCCGCCCGCCGAAATCGGCCGGATTTTTGTTGCCACAATGTTTCGACATCCGCTAGGGCCCCTTCTGTGCGAGCGTTGGTTGGGGAAGAGCATGTGAGTACCCTTGAGTGCAAGCAATGTTTTGAGAGCCAATGGTTGTCTCCTCTGGAGGCCCTCGTTGGTGTCCTCTCGGAGCCCTCCTGGGCCGCCTTCGGGGCCTCCTGGACCTTCTTGGGCGGCTCCCGGGCCGTGCTGGGGCCACCTTGGGCCGTCCTGCAGCCATGTTGGGCCAACCTCCTCCTCCCCCTCCCCCTCCTCCTCCTCCTCCTCCTCCTCCTCCTCCTCCTCCTCCTCCTCCTCCTCCTCCTCCTCCAGAGCCGTCCCGAGCCCCTCGTCGACCTTCAGGAGGCCCAGGCGTGGTCTTTTTCCTTCGTGCCCCAGGCGTGGCCACGCGGTGAGTACAGTCGCATCGGTGGTGTGCTCCGCCGCGCTGCGCGGCCACACGGCGAGCGCCACGGAGCCGTGCTCGGTTTCGCCCCGTCCAGGGCGCTGCCGCGCGACGAGCAGAGTGGAACCCAGACATCGGGCGTCTCGAAAAAGTCGGGACGGAGGTTTTTTGCAGTTTTGGGCCTCTCGGGGCCCTCGCCGGGCCTCGGGACCATCAGAAAACGACCCGGGATGAGAAACGGGTCCCAGGGAAGTGGTCGGGAGGTCGGAGCCCCGTGTCTCGAAAAAGTCGAGACGTCGGATGTCTGGGAACGGTCTGGCTCTCGGCCCGCTGCGTGGCCACGTGGCGAGCAGCGTTTCTCGTCCCCAGGGCGCTTGCCACGAGCCGAGCAGAGCGGCGTTGGTCGTCTCTTTCCGGTCCCCTCCCTGCTGCGCTGCCTCTTGGCGAGTACCACGGCATAACATGTGTTTCGCTCACCAGGCGTTGCCGCGTGAAGAGTTGATTGGAGTGGCATTGTTCCTGCCCCGTCCGATGCGAACGGAATGGTACTGTTCCGGGGCTGCTGCGTGGGTACTTGGCGAGTGTCATGGTATGCTATTCGTTCCTACCCCTAGGCGCTGCCGCGTGAGTGGAACGGTCTGTTCTCTGGCCCGCAGCGTTGCCGTTGGCGAGTGCAGTGATTTTGTTTGCTTTCCGCCCCACTGCGTTTCCACGTGGCGAGTCGAGTAGCATTAGGAGGAGGAGAAGGAGGAAGAAGAGGACGAGGAGGAGGAGAAGGAGGAGAAGGAGGAGGAGGAGGTTGCATCATTCCGCCACCCGGGCGTTGCAACGTGCCGAGCAGTTCGGGAGCCTCGAGACGGGGGTCAGTGCAAACGGGGGTCAGCCAGGGCGCCGGATCCTGCAGGATCCTGCGAAGGCCCCCTCTGGCTGACCCGGGTTAGGGAGCCGCTCGTGGCCGCGAGGCGGCCGCGCGTATTGGCTGACCCGGGTCTGCGAAGACCTGCGGTGCAGTTTTTTTTTCCTGCATTGCAGTTTTTGGTTTCCTGCTGACCCGGGTCTGGATTGACCCGGGTCAGAAGATCCCCGAAGCAGAGTGGCATGGTATGTGTTTTGTTTTTTTTCTCCAGGCGTTGCAACGTGATGGGTACAGTAGAAGAGGCGGTATTGCTGCCTTGCTGCGTTGCCGCTTGGCGAGCACACCGGACGCCCCCAGGCGTTGCCGTGTGGCGAGTCGAGTGGAAGGGGAATTGTGCCAGCCCAGCCCGAGTCGAGTGGAGTGTTTTTCTGTTTCTCCGGCCTGCTGCGTGGCGCGAGGCGAGCGCAACGGAATGGTATTTGCTTGCCGCTTTGGCGCCTGTCGCAAGACACGTCGAGCGGAATCGTATCTGATCCCGCCCCGCTTGCGTAGAATGGAGTTGCATGTGTTCCGGCCCGCTGTAAGTAAATGTGGCGAGCGTGATCGAAGATTGCTTGCTGGCCTCCCCCTGCGCGCGGGAGGGGGAGGGAGACTCGAGTGCCAGAGGAGGGGGGGCGCGGGAAGGAGCGCGTTTCGACTGCCACCAGCGGGGGGGGGGGAGGGTCGCGCGCGGAAGGCGAGAGTTTCGAGTGCCGGATTTGGGGGTGGGGTAGAGGCGCGGGCAGGCGGGAGTCTGGGCTGCCGGAGAGGGGGGGGGCGGCCCCCCCCCGGTGGCGGGGAGGAGAGGGTCTCTTGCGTTGGCCTCGACCGCCAGAAGGAATGTCGGGCATCCAGAGAGTGCCGAAACTGGGGGGGGGTTTCACGTGCCGGGCCCTGGGGGACGAGGCTCGTTCGACACTGCTTCGAGACTGCTCGAGGTGCTCGAAAATATTTCTGGGAGATGGTCCGTAAGTGCGATGGGAGCAGCGTGAAGTTAAATGGCGCTTCGCGCCGCGCGAAGTGCGAGATTGGGTGGCACAGGCCAGCCAGGCCCAGGATGCCGAGTCGCTCCAGCCCGAGCGTCTCAGCACGCTCTGGGACGACCACGGCGCCCAGAACACCGATCCCGGGGACCGGGGGGCCAGCGGAGGGGGAGGGAGGCAGGAGGAGGATGAGGAGGAGGAGGAAGAGGAGGCGGAGGGGGAGGAGGAGGAGGAGGAGGAGGAGGAGGAGGCGGAGGAGGAGGAGGAGGAGGAGGAGGAGGAGGAGGAGGCGGAGGAGGAGGAGGGAGGAGGTGGGGCAGGAGGAGGAGGAGGAGGGGATCCCCGAAGCTTCTCGCTCCAGTCTTGGATTTAGATCATGCTTCCGTCTTGCCCACGCCTGTGGTCCCTACCTTTGGCCCTGCGGGTGTTTTCGGTCTTCTGTCGAGATCCTCCGAGGTCCTGAGCTTAGGAGTGCGTGCGTCTTGCCGTAGTTTCAACCGTGCTCGCTCCAGGACGTCCAGTGACCACGAGTGGCCAGTGCGCCGCGGGGCGCGCAGCAGAGCTGACCTTCCTGCCAATGCATATCTGATGTTCACGGTTGCCCCTCTCCCTTTCACCCGTGCTGCCCGGAAAGGGCGTTGGGGAGCGCGGCCTCTCGGAGCGAGGGGGAGCGGCAGCACCCCCCCCGCGTCACCCCCACGGGCGCGAAGCCGATCGCGTTCCCCCATCCGCCTGGCCTAGACCGCGAAGATGTCTTGTCCAGTGCGGCGGCTCTATCGGGCGCGAGGCTGGGTGCGGTAGGATCGTGCCGTGCCGCCGCAGCAAGAAGCGCATTACAATCGAAAGGATCACAGGAGCGCATCGCCAGAGACTTGGGCGGCGCTCTGCCCTCTCTCCCCCCTCTCCTCGTAGACGCACGCCAGAGGGGCGAGGGGAGCCCCAGAAACCAGAGACGTCTAACAAACCGAAGGATGGAGGGTTTAGGGTTTAGGGTTAGGAGGAGGGGGAGGAGGAGGAGGAGGAGGAGGAGGAGGAGGAGGAATAGGAGGAATAGGAGGATGCGAGGGGAGGGGAGGGGAGGAGGCTCTTCAAGTCAGTGCGCGGGACTGGGAGCCCTCGACCCGCCCATGGGGCCCGGGGACAGTTCTCTTGTCGGCGGCCCTGGGGCCCGACAGCGGCTACCAGAGGCAGCAGCACGGCGCATGTGTTCACCGCCCACCAGACCACCCTGACCCAACCCGAAGGCCCCGATCTGGCCTCCAGTTCCAGTGGTGGGGGGGGGGTCGGGGAACATTGGGAACATTATCGTGACGAAAGACCCAACCACATGCAGCTGCGAGTACCGCGAGAGAGCTGAGACGGAAGGGGTGGGGGCCGGCGGGGTCGAGACGTCCAGGGGCTTTGCGCCGTGAGGAATTCCAGGGGCCCCGCGCAAGCGTCTTTTCTCTTCCTCGGAATGGGTCGCGGGGACACATGTAAGCCATGCCACCGAGGCCTTGCCTGGAGCCCCTTATTGGGCCACGAACCGTGTGAGGGGTGCGTCGAAATGAATCGCGGGGACGCGTGTAAACTCTGCCATAGGGGTCTTCGGTTGAGCTCCCTATGTGGCCACGAACCGTGTGAGGGGTGTGCCGACAGGAGTCGCGGCGACGCGTGTAAACCTTGCCATTGGGGCCTTCGGTGGAGCTCCCTATGTGGCCACGAACCGTGTGAGGAGTGTGCCGACATGAGTCGCGGCGACGCGTGTAAACCTTGCCATTGGGGCCTTCGGTGGAGCTCCCTATGGGGTCACGAACTGTGTGAGGGGTATGCCGAAATGAGTCGCGGGGACGCTTGTAAACCCTGCCACTGCGGCCTTCGGTGGAGCTCCCGACGGGGCCACGAGCCGTGTGAGGGGTGTGCCGAACTGAGTCGCGGGGACGCATGTGAACCCTGCCACTGGGGCCTTCGGTGAGGGGTGTGCCGACATGAGTCGCCGGGGTGAGGCCTTCGGTGGAGCTCCTTATGGTGCCACGAACCGTGTGAGGTGTGTGCCCACATGAGTCGTGGGGACACATGTGAACCCTGCCACCAGGGCCTTCGGTGGAGCTTCCTACGGGGCCAAGAACCGTGTGAGGGGTGTGCCAAATTGGAGGCGGCGGTGCCATGCGGAATTTGGCACTGGGGCCTTCGGTAGAGCTTCCCATTGGGCCACGAACAGTGCGAGGGTTGTGCCGAAATGGATGACACGGACGCATGGGATGATGATGGTGATGATGGTGATGGTGATGGTGATGATGAGGATGAGGATGGAGGATGGGTGGGAGGAGGAGGAGGAGGAGGAGGAGGAGGAGGAGGAGGAGGAGGAGGAGGAGTAGAGGAGGTGGGACGCGTGGCGCTGTCTCTTCAAAACGAGAACCCCACCCCACCGGATGGTTGGGAACTAAAAAAACACGTGTGGAACCCGTACCCCCCCTTCCGAAATTCGGGCCTTCGGGCCAGGTCAGGTTGGGTGGTCTGGTAGGTAGTCAGATGTGCCCGTTTTGTGCTGCTCCCCCCCCCTCCAGGCGTCGGGGACGGCCGCCAGAGGCCGAGAGAGCAGGGAGCAGGTCCGCGGCGCTCTCTCCGCAAGTCGTCGGAGGTCCGGGGAGGGGGGCAAGAAACACATACACCGGGTTGGGGGAGGGGGGGGCGGGCAAGACTCGACGACACGCAAGAGTGACACTTCGCTGGAGTGGCCTCTGGGGCGGGCTCATCGGGGTCCCCCCGGTCGCGGATTGCGATGCGATAGTGGCTGCTTGCGCGCCTGGGTTTGGCCACCATGCGCCCCCTTAATCCGCGCACTGTAGGTCACTCTTGCCTAGGGTCACTCGTCCGTGGAGCCGAAAGATGACGAGCACCACAAGGCGGAAGGCGCAGACGGGGTGGGGGATCGCGGGCCGGGACGTCTCTTGTCTACTCAAGACGTCGGAGGTCAGTGGAGGGGTGCAAAAGCACACATACATGTGGAACAACACGCTGTTTGTTGTTGTGTTCTTGGTTGTTTTTGTTCACCGTGTGTTGTGTTTTTGCATGTTTTCCCACAGACGACGAGCACCACAAGGCAGAAGGCGCAGAGGGGGGGTGATGCGCTGGCCTCGCTGGGAGGGGAGCAGCGGGGGGTCCGGCTTCCACGCGGCGGCGCCTCCGCCGCAGAAGTGGACGACCGAGCGGGGCGACAAGATCCACGTGGACCTGGCGAGGTACAAGTGGCTCCCCGACGAGTGGGGCCAGGCCCGCGGTGCGGGGGGAGGGCGGGAATCGAGGACCGAGGTGTCCTGGACGTCGGGAAGCTTCTGGGGCCACTGGAGACCTCCTGAGCCCTCTGCCTCGAAGACCTATCGCAGACCCAGATCTGCAGCGACCTGTGTTGTTCGCTCCGGGCATCTTTCCTCGCTGGCGTGCCCTTCGTGGGGCCCCCAGGCCAGAAAGAGTTGTTCCGGCCCGACCTTCCCCCGCGGGGGAAGGTCGGGCCGGGCGAAAGGGGGAGATTGGGAAAGGGCGGCTTACGAAATCTGCTGCATGCAGTTGGTTTCGGCCACACCGAGGTGCCCCGTTCCTCGATACATGGTCTGATTCTCAGCCCCCCCTTTTGGTATCCCCCCCTTTCGCCGGGCCCGAGGAGGGGGCACCTCTGGGGCCGCCCATGTGGAAACAGTCAGATCGGCGTACGGAGACCTCCGGGGGAGCCTTTCTGGGAGCCCCCGCGCCCCGGCGCCGTGCAAAAAAAGCACGACCAGCCCCACGGGAACTCTTCGGATCGGAAGCAGCCCACGCGTTCCTTCAAGTCGAGAAAACGGATTGTAAAATGATGACCCTCCCGCATCCCCTCCCCCCCTGGCTCCCGAGTGTCACGAATTCGCCGCCTAAAAATGATGTGTTTAAGCCTTACCCCCTCAAATATTTTACCGGGAAGGGAACCATGCTATTTATGTATGCGTGTATGCATGTATTCATGTATGTATCTATGCATGTATGTGTCTGCATACATGTCTATATGCACGCTCTCTCGCTTCCTGGGAATAGTGTATCAATTTGTTTCAACCATCCTGTGGTGCTGGGTCCTCGTTTTGGAAGAGACAGCGGCCCGCGTCTCTCCTCCTCCTCCTTCTCCTCCTCCTCCTCCTCCTCCTCCTCCTCCTCCTCCTCCTCCTCCTCTCCTCCTGCCCTTCCTCCCTCCTCACTCCTCCTCCCTCATCCGCACTCCTCCCTCATCCGCACTCCTCCTCCCTGCGTTTCACCCACCCAGCACGAAGTTTCGTTGCCCCTTTCAAGGGGGTTCCAGCTAAGGCCCCAGTGACGCAGCGCAGCCGGCATGGCGCCGCCACCCCATTTTGGCACACCCCTCACGCGTTTCGTGGCCCTATAGGCAGCACCATCTGCGGTCTCAGTGGCGCAGCCCGCATGGCGGCGCCGCCCCATTGTGGCACACCCCTCAAACGTTTCGTGGCCCCATAGGGAGCTCCACCTAAGGTCCCAGTTGCGCAGCCCGCACGGCGCCGCGGCCCCATGTTGGCACACCCCTCAAACGCTTCGTGGCCCCATAGGGAGCGCCATCTAGAGTCCCAGTGGCGCAGCCCGCATGGCGGCACCGCCCCATTTTGGCACACCCCTCACACGTTTCGTGGCCCCGTAGGGAGCTCCACCGAAGGTCCCAGTGGCGCAGCCCGCATGGCGCCGCCGCCGCCCCATTTTGGCACACCCCTCACTTGCAATCCGGTGTCCTCCTGACAAGTTTGTATAAGAATCCTTTCTAGGTTGCGACCAGTCCGTTCCCAGTGGTTGCAATCCGACCGAAATAGTCCCTGAACAGTCCGAAGTGGTTGCGATCGGTCTCATTCCCGTGGGTCCCTCCCCTGTTGCCACCCGCCCGACCTCCCCGCGGCCCTGCGCAGCGGGCCCTCCTCGGGGCCCGCCACACGGGGCCGGCGCCGTGAGGCGAGCGGCCATCCTCGGGCGCGAGACACTGGGGTGGTACCCACATTGGGGGTGAAGAAAAGGGCCCAAAAGGGGCCATTCAGGGGCCCCGCTTGAGGCCAGCAGGGGCCCCAAAGGGGCCCTTTTCAAGGGCCCATTGAGGGCCCTTGTCTTCACTCCCCATGTGGGTCACCGCGAGCACGACCGATCGCAACCACTTCGGACCGATCGTAAACCGCTTCGGACCGATCGCAACCAGTTGCGATCGGTCCCAAGGGGTTGCGATGTTTTTGGGTCGTTGCAATATGGCTTTGATTAAGGAGGAGATCATAAGATCGCTTCGGGGCTCAATGAGTTCCCTGAAGCCACCCACTGGGAATCTGAAAAAGCGGTTGCGATCGGTCCGATCACAGGCGGCTGATCATGTTGGGATGTGGGTAACCCCCCTCCGTTGCCACCCGCCCGACCTCCCCGCGGCCAGGGGGTGAAGATCACCCCCTGGCCGCGGGGGTGAAGGAAGGGGCCCCAAAGGGGGCCATTCAGGGGCCCCTTTTGAGGCCAGCAGGGGCCCCAAAGGGGCCCTTTCAAGGGCCCGTTGAGGGCCCCTGTCCTCACTCCACGTGTGGGTAGCCCCTCCCGTTGCCACCCGCCCGACCTCCCCGCGGCCAGGGGGTGAAGATCACCCACAGGAACGGGCGCAGCGCGGGCTTCCAGGAGCGCGGCGCGCCCGCGGGGAGGCCCTCGGGGGCGCCCCCTCTCGCCGCCGCCCGCAGCTGCGCCCCCGCGGATGGGGAGGAGGAAAGAGAACGGGAAGGAGGAGGTGGAGGAGGAGGAGGGGACGACGAGGAGGAGGAGGAGGAGGAGGATGAGGCAGTCCACCATCTGCGATATTTTTCGCATGGTTACGCTGTGAGGACTCCTTGCGTCGCATACATATGCGTTCGCGCGCGCACGAACGGGACGCTCGCCGTTCCCCTGGCGTGGGCCTCCCGGGAGGTTCTCGCCGCCACCGCTGGCTTCGCCTTGAGAGTCTGGCCAGGATGCACCAGGGGATGCAGGGCTTCTCCGAGGGGCTCAGGCGACCCCTCCTCCTCCTCCTCCTCCTCCTCCTCCTCCTCCTCCTCCTCCTCCTCCTCCTCCTCCTCCTCCCTCCTCCCCTCCTCCTCCTCCTCCTCCTCCTCTCCTCCTCCTCCTCCCCCTGCTCCTCCTCCTCCTCCTCCTCCTCCTCCTCCTCCTCCTCCTCCTCCTCCTCCTCCTCCTCCTCCTCCTCCTCCTCGAGTCGCCTACGGCCCCGGGAGAATCCGTGCAGACGCACCCTGGGAGATGTGCGGTTTGAGTACCGGTGTCGGCACCTGTTGGTTTCCCCACCTCCAGGGGGCCTCTCTCAACATGGGGTCCGAGCGGGCGGGTTCGCGGAGGAGGGAGGAGGGAGGAGGGAGGAAAAGGAGAAGGAGGAGGAGGAGGAGGAGGAGGAGGAGGAGGAGAAGGAGGGAGGAGGGAGGAGGGAGGAGGGAGGAGGGAGGAGGGGGAAGGGAGGAGGGAGGAGGAGAAGGAGGAGGAGGAGGAGGAGGAGGAGGCGCTGGCCGCATCGCCGATGCATCGGCTCCCCACGCCCACGGCGACGGCTCCCCACGCCGAGACGCGGATGCATCCCCGGCACCGCCGGCACGAATTTGGTAATTTGCAAGGGTGAACTCGGGGACGCAAAGATTGTTGTAATCTACCATGCATTATGGCCTCGGGGACGCGAATCTCATGTATCTTATTTGCCCCACGCCCCGCCATGAGTTCAGAGAACGCGATCCGGGGGTGTCCCCCCCCCCCTCGTGCGGACTTCAAGAGTTTACAATAGGAAGCAGAAAGCAGGACAGTAACCTTGGAGACTGGAAGCTGCAACTGGTGCAGGGAGCAGCAGACTTCGCCCTACAGCCTGGTGGCCCCACAAGGGAGCCGGCGGATATGTTGTGCAAACTCTGTTGAGCAAACAATGTGGTGCAATACAGGTGGTTCAATCTTTTCTTTGTGGTGCAACCTATGTTGCGTAATCTATGTTGTGCTATCTATGTGGTACCGTGCTTATGGCCGCGACGAGTCGGCGACCGGCGGCGACGGCAACCGAGGAGCCGCCAGACCGACAGTTGGGCCCAGACGACGCACGGCGACTGAGCGGCGACGGGGCGGCGACGGCGACAACGGGGCCGCCAGAGACCGGCAGCCAGGCCCAGACCACGGGCGGCGACGAGGCGGCGAGCGCGGCGGCGACGGCGGCAACGGAGTCGCCAGACCGGCAGCCAGGCCCAGACGACCGGCGGCGACGGGGCGGCGACGGGGCGGCGACGTCGACCACGGAGCCGGCAGATTGGCAGCCAAGCCCAGTGCTTTTAGAGCAAACAGTCAGGCCCTGAAGTGCAAGCACTGCTTGTGGAAGGATATGTGTTGACCACCGCTGGCGCCAAACAGTGTGCTTGCAGCAATGTGTGGTGCAGTCTTGTGGTGGAATACATGGTGCGCACTCTATGTGGTGCAATCTACGTGGTGCAATATATATATATATATATATATATATATAGTGCAGTGTATGTGGTGCAGGCCATGTGGTTAAATCTAGGTTGTGCAGTCTATGTATTGCAATCTGCGTTTTGCAATCGATGTTGTGCAATGTATGTTGTGAAATATTGTGTTGTGCAGTCTATTGGTTGCAGTGCTTTTTGCAGCGACGAGGCGGCCACTGGGCGGCGACGGCGACCACGAAGCCGCCAGACCAGCAGCTGGGCCCAGACGGCGGGCGGCGACGGGGCGGCGACGACGACCACGGAGCTGCCAGACGGAGGACTGGGAGAGCGGCAAGGGGAGAGGAGACAATGAGCAGGAGAAGGCGGAGGAGCGGCCCTCCCCCCCCGCCCTCGCCGCAGGACCACGGGGGCAGGGGCGTCCTGGATTGCTTCGTCGCTCCGGACGGCAGGTGCTTCTTCCACAAGCCCCTTGCCGAGGACCCCGCCTCGTCCTCGTCTTCGTCCTCGTCCTCGTCGTCGTCGTCGTCCCCGTCGTCGTCCCCGTCGTCGCCGTCGTCGCCGTCGTCGTCGTCTTCGTCGTCGTCGTTCGAATTGCGCTAGGGAGAACCATTCTTGGAGAGCGCCGTCATCATCTTTGCCCCTCTGTTTCCATGACGCTGGCCCACTTGCGAGAGGAGTACTCCGCCAAGATGGGCTGGACGAAAAAGTTTACCCCTGAGGCTGGCAAGAACGGGCAGATCCAGCTGGCCAAGGTGCTCGACTGTGCTGGAGGTAGGAGGAAGGAGAAGGAGAGCGAGGGAGAGGCTCAGCCCCCCGCCGTGATGATTTTCCGCAGCGTGCCCCCCGCAACACGCCCATGGGTCTGTACCCCCCTTCCCCGTGGCCCGCTCTTCGACCCGAGCCGCTATTGGAGTCCCCGGCGGCCCGGTGAGGGAGCAGGAAGGCTGCCGAAAACCAGTCGCCATGGTTTTGGATCACGATCTTCGAGCATGTCTGGGGAGTGAGTGGGAGGGCGGGGAGGAGGGAGCTGGAGGAGGGAGGGAGGGTGGGAGGGCGGGAGGAGGAGGAGGAGCTAGGAGGAGAAGGAGGAGGAGGAGGAGGAGGAGGTTGCCCTGGGGATTACCCTTAGAGGTACGAATGTACCGAGGAGGAGGAGGAGGAAGGAGGAGGAGGAGGAGGAGGAGGAGGAGGAGGAGAGGAGGAGAGGAGGGAGGAGCGGGAGGGAGAGCGAGGAGCGAGGAGCGGGAGCGAGGAGCGGAGCGAGGAGCGAGGAGCGAGGAGCGAGGAGCGAGGAGCAAGGGGGGGGGGGAGGGAGCTGGAGGAGGGAGGGGGGGGGAGAGGGAGGGCCGTGGGGAGGCCGCGAGGGGAGGCGCCCCACCCCCCCCTGGAGCGGCGGGAGGCGCAGGCCGCGCAGGCGCTGCGGCTCATGCGCGAGGAGCTGCGGGACGGGCAGCAGGCCTCCGCCCCCGGCCTGCCCGCCCGCTCGGCCGCCGGAGGCCCTCGCCGTCGGCGCGCGGCCGTCGGAGGGCCGTCGGAGGGCCGCCCGCGGCCGCCGAGGGGCCGCGGGCTGGCGGGGACCCCCCCCAAAAAATAGAGAAAAAAATCGAAAGCTTCGAAACCATTAAAAACAAATCGGGACGGAGGTTTTTCATAGTTTTTGGCCTCTCGGGGCCCTCGCCGGGCCTCGGGGCCGTCAAGGAACGACTCGGGATGAAGAACCGGTCCCGGGGAGGGACTTCCGGGGACCCCGCATTGAACGAATCACGACATGGGATCTCTGGGGAGAGTGGCATCTAGGATTGAGGCTCAAGCTGTTGGGTCGTAGCGGGATCGGGGGCTGGAGATGTTCTTCTTCCGCACCGGGCACCGGGATGGCCGAGCAAAGTCCAGACTTTCGCGCAGAAGACGAGGAGATGCGGAATTGTTCTGTGGGAGGGAGCGGCACATGTGCAGAAGATCGGCTCTATGTGCATTGGGTCGTTGTTGGGTCGGGGATTGGAGATGCCCTTCGCTCCGTCCCGCCCCCCCAGTAACATCATACGAGTCGCTCTTCCATCCGGCCACATGTATTCCTTTGCGTCGTGCACCTCACGAACGCCAGCGTTGCCTCATAGAAGGCTTTGTTCTATCGCTACACCCTGTGCCTCTGAGTACACTCCTTCGTCTCCGCGCACACAGAGGGAGAGAGTTGCCGCGCTTCGCGAGGTCGAGGGCGTTGACAAGGACTCGGAGTTGTTCAGGCTCTTGTCGGCGAAGGAGAGGAAGGCATTGCCAAACAAGTCCGAGTTGCATTTCTGCGTTATCTCGGCACGCCGGGGCGCTTAGCTTGGGAAGAGAAGGATCGAAAGAGAAGATGAGGGTAGCCCAGAGGTGGGCATTACGCTTCACGGGTCCGGCAATGGCAGCATCGTTAAGTGCGCCAGGGTGTATGTGTGTGGGGGGGGGATGGGGGCTGAGAATTTGACGAAGCACGTGGGGCAAGCCTTTGGATTGGCGCGGAGATGGCGCATCGCATGCTGCGGTAGCGTCGGCCCTTACCAGATGCGGCGGCGCGCGGAGTGATCCCAATCTGATGTGTTGACGCCCGTTGTCGTTGGTCGTGATGCCGGTTGCGGCAGGGGGACGGGGGCGTTCATTGCGGCGAGCGCAGTGGCGCGACGGGGTGCAGTGCACCGTGAAGAGATCGCGGCTCGGGGTGGCGAGGCAGCGAGGCACTGTCCCACGGATGGTCTATGGTGGAGGAAGGGCGGTCGCCCAGCGGTCGCGGGGCAGGTCTCCCAGGCGGGGCGCAGGTGAGGCGGAGAGCCATCGTGCTAGGACTGTACCAAGTGCGGCAGAAACGAATGCGTATGCTCTTGTACGGGTCCGTGTGCAGGTCTTTCGGTGATCTGCATGCTGTTGCATTCGTGTCCCGACTGCACGTGCCACTCTTTGGGTTACGTGGCAGTTTCTCCGCTGCGTGTGCCCATGCTGTACTCCCGGGATCGAGCGTCCTCGCAACCCAGCGGCGGCGCGCTCTGCGATTGCGATGTCTCCGCCAGGTCTTTCCCTTTGGACATGGCTGTCGCGAGGCTCTGCCGACCCCAGCCACAGGCCCTCGACGTAACAGTCTCCCGCGCGACTCGCACGCGTGCGCGCCCCGCAGCGACTGCCCGTGCCCCCTTGCCCTCTACTGCCATCACGTCCAGAAGCGGTAGAGGTCAGCAGTGGCATCGGGCTCACAAGCCCTCCAGCCTTCTGCTGAGACGTTTCCCGTGTCTCTGGGGGCAGCCACGAAGACTTCTCAGAAGGCCGCGGGACGTCCGAGCATCCTGCGAAGGACCGCCCCCTCTCGTCGACTACACGTAGGAGTGACCCTGCGCCAGAGTGCCTTCTGGTGCGGGCCCATTGGGGGTCACCCGATCGCTCGCCGAACAGGATGCGATAGTAGCCTCTTGCGCGCTTGTGTTTGGCTTCCCTGGGGCCCTAAAAAAGCCGCGCACGAAAAATCACTCTTACCCAGGGTCGCTCTTGCGCGTAGCCGGTCTCACTCCCCTCCGGGCTGACCGCCCACCTTCAAATCCTCAAGTCCCCCATCCCGGTGCCTAAAACAATGTTGCCACTGCGAGCCCCGAGAAGGTGCAACGCCCCCGCCCTTGGCGAGAGTCCCTCATCGCCTGCCCCGAGAGGAGGCGGAGGACGAGGAGGAGGAGGAGGAGGAGGACGAGGAGGAGGAGGACGAGGACGAGGAGGAGGAGAAGGAGGGGGAGGTGGAGGGGGATTGG